AGAGAGAGAGAGTGAGGCGGTTTTTAAGAGGAAGCGATATTTTGATAATTTGGAGCAGACTCAGTCACGAAGACCAAAGTTTTAGGTAGCGCTGGTGAAGGAGAGAAATGAATGGGGGGGGGAGAGCATAACAGAATAGTTGCAGCCGAACATTTAATTCAAGAGATTATACTATTGTTTTACTTATAGTAAAGGAAAACAGTTCATTTGATTTTTGTACACTGCGTAATGCGGCGAATAAATTTCAAGTACTTGGTATTCAAAGTAGTTTCAACAGTATGACGGTACAGCTAATGAGTCGAATTGTTGAAGTTTCGTATACTCGTCTTTTATCTTAACGAGGTAGATAAACGAGTTTAACTATTTTGAAAAGGAAAGAGGAGGCTGCACCATATACTTGCCCCCCATGGATGTAGACATTACCTTTAGCGTTAGGAATTTTTTAAAAACAAGCATCGGCATTGCACCGTGAAGTCAATGAGAGGAAATGTGTCACAGATGGCGCCAAATCTTGGAAATGGAAGACGACTTCATGCTTTAACAGTTGGAAATTTACCTTTTGTTTCCTTGAGGTTTCGGGCTAAGGCAAATCCAGTAAGACGAAGGTAGGAACTGTATGGTCTCAATACCTCGATTAAACTTTGCAATTAAATTTTGCTAATTAGCACAGTCCTCTAGTCGAGCACTGTGTTTGATCGCGTACCGTTGTTGGAAGATAAATGTGTGCAGATTTTAATTGTGTTGGAGGAAGGTATTATTTAGATGTTACCATGGTTGCAGGTAATGCGATACCGAACTAAAATTAAAGTGCAAGGATGTAAGGAAAGTTTGTAACCATTGTAGTTAATTACACCTTCATTACGGGATCATTTCTCTCATTCTGCTTTTCATCATATTAAATGTAGGCGTTGAGCTTCATTTCTGTACCCTCAGCCAGGAGTGCCTTACTCTTTTCAAGAGGGTGTCGACCAGCTATGTGGCAAGGACAGTGTGTTGTCCTCTGTTTCTTTCCAACAGAGCAGTGCTCACTTCTCAGTCTCAGAAGGAACATGGGTTAGTTGCGTGATTGGGGTTCGAAAACGGGGCCTCTGGACTCTGAGTCCGACTGAGCAACCCCTCCCTGAAACAGCGTGGGGTAAATTTATTGCTGCAGAAAATTCCCGGTTAAGACAAGGATTGCTCTTCCGCCGGAATCGAACTCAGCACCATTGGAGTTCGAAATCGATCTAAGATATTCTGCCATTACGCCCCCTGCTTAATTATTGATTAACACCTGCAGGACCTTTGAGGCGATGCGTAATCGCTGCTGCTAATAGTCGTGTAATAGTAGAGGCACTGCAAAAGCTACAAGAGTATTACATTTATTAGCATCAGTAGTGTTAAAAG